TGGAAGAGGGAGGGCAGGTGGCAATAGATAGTGACGATGAGGTGGAAACGCATATAGAGGTAGAAGAAGAGTATAATTTACCAGAGGAAGAAGTTGTGGAATGGAAAGAGGATAGTGATAGTGAAAGTGGTATTGATGATGAAGAAGGCTATACACCTAACCCAAGTGATATTGACGATGAATAGAACTTTTGTTTGTGATTGCTGGTGAAATACCACTGTTACATTTTTACTTTGACCTACATGAGGTATATGAGGGGGAAACGTCATTATTTTTAAGTGTATTTTTAAGTCAAGTCTGATTAAAATCATTTATATTATAACCCAATACATATTTTTACTTTGATGTGCATATAGTGAAATTCAAAACTGCCGAAAAAGCATGTTAAATGTCAGATTGTCATAAAACTTGGATGGGCAATACAAGATTGTTTGCTTGATTATCACAGAAATTTTTAGGATGGCTCAAAGTGTGTAAGACCCCCTAAGTACTCTATAACAGTGGCATGTCAATAGGTGATTTTCCGAACAATTGCGAGATCTCGCGAGATGCATGAAAGACGCGCGTCGAACGTCTGCCGCAAAAATCGAACGATTTGATTTTGAACTATAATTTCTTTATTTCGCAGCTTACATTGACCGGCCGATCTTCGACAGAGGAATATTGCTTCCGAATATCCTCACTTAATCGAAATTGCCTATCATCAAATGTGGACAGCACATTATTAAGCATGGAAATGTCCCCGAAATACTTTCGCGTTTGTCGAATCCCACGCGATGTTTGACGCGACTACGACGCTATGAACCTTTGTTTGTCCTGTTTTTACGTTCGATTTCACGCATAACGCGTGATTCTCGCAGTGTACGGAAAATGGTCTATTGACTTTCGCATTCCTCAAGTCTACTGGCTGTACACGATACTCTGTTTTGTTTATAAAAAAAGTATTCTACCTCATGTCATCAGACTAGATTCATAATTAGTCATTTTATTATTCAGAAAATATGAAATTGCAGTTTGATACGATGAATTTTCACATAAAAACTTGGTTTTAAAATCCTCTTCTATACCCTATGACAGAAGTTATCAGTGGTCGTTGGGGGCGCTGTTTGTATCTGAAAGAGAGGCTCCAAAACACCATGATTGTTTACATTTGACCCTCCGTTTAGACTAATTAGATGAGAGATGTAGCTAACATATTATTTGACCACATGTGGTCATGTGATCTCATTAATATGCATAAATTGTACATGCATCCAATAGTGTAATAAAAACACTGAAACAATCGATATGACTAATGTATCAGATTACCATATATGCCCATATAACCTCATTTATAAGCATAACTGTAATATTATGATGTTCAGAAAAATATACAACCAGAATTCATCATATATATCCTATAGCAACTGGTAACCCACCCAAATCACTGCTTGCAGTTATATTTTTTAATACTGCATTTTCTCTATTAAAAGCAAACAAAATTCTATCAAGAGGAATTGGAAATAAGGTTGTACAAATCAATTGGATAAGCCATACCAAGTATTTTAAGTGTTATCAGTGTCTTTAATCTCATCTGTTGAACTAATGGGTAATAGACTACTGTAAAACCATTTATTTTCACTGGAATTTAATTTTACTATTTTGATGTTTGAGCAATTTCATTCGGTTTTAAGTTCACAAACTTTGCAGTTCTTTTGTTATAACATGTTCATTTAATTTAGCATTTAATTAATAGCGAAATTAAAAATCTTTCCAAACACATCAAGACTATTACTGGAAGCTGCCAAAATGGCACAGCAGAAAACTGCATAAAGCATTGTTGATGTGGCCCCCTAATTATTTAATCAGATCTTTTGTATACAAGAAATCAAATTTATAATTACTCAAGCAGATTTTTTTTCTCACTTTCATAAAGAAATAACTAAGTTTTTATTATAGGCAGTTCAATTGAGAGGATAATTCACTGCAATCTTTAAAATTTTTGTACAAGCAATTTATAAAAGTTTATTCTGAGTCAACATTTATCAACACTAAAAGTTAGATTACGATGTACAGCCATCTCGCTCAGCATTCACAGAAACAATCATGCACAGTTAATTAAAACAATAACATTTATTTTTTTACCAATACATACAAGAACGAAGACTAGAAATAAGAGTAGGTGAGATTCTTTCAATACATGATATACAGCAGGAGACTAGAAAGGAAATGTAGCAATGCTGCATTGTTAAAACAGTGATTTCAAGTTTAAAAATAGTGGAGTTATAATAGTGATTACATATGCATATATTTAGTAATCAGACTATAGCTGTCAATATCTAGACCAGGAAGAATCAAACTGTATATTACAAAGGATCTCCCTATAGACTCAATATTAAATAGGTGCGAATTAAGTTACCTATGTAAGCAAAATATCTTTGCAAGCTGAAGAAAAGAATAAGCAATTCATGGGGGTATTAAAGATGGACATTTCTCCCCCAACTTATTTTGATACATGAATACCCATATCACTGCACAACTATGTACAAAGAGACAAAAGGGGGCAAACAGACCTTTTTCAATCGATGGAGTTAAAACATGTTAAAATAGGAAAAGTGGGAACATCCTGGAATAGATATATGTACAAATCCTGTTCCTGTTCTTCTAAACTCTCTCGTATCCCCCAATACATATAAATAAATCATAAGTAGATTTACAAGTAGAAAATTTCAAGATTTTACTTGTTTATTGGGAAGACATAATTGGATAGTCAGGTGATCAAATACAGAATAATTTTTTTTATTATTACTATAAGATTTTGTTTCATCCATGAAGTCTGATAGCTGACTATGAACACAAGACTTTTCAATCAAGGCATTAATATGCCATATCACCGGCAACAGTCATCGTAAATGAGATACCAACGTTTTGAAGAAACAGACAATGATTATAAATATTATGCGCTGTGAGAAAGTACAAATTGTCAGGCACAGTAATGTACATAACTGAGAAGTGCACGAAATGTGAAAAAATCAAGCACTAAAACAAGGGCATTGTGAGACACCATTACGATAGTATACAATTGTTCCACTGAAATGATAGTTATTACACTCATATTCTCCAATATTATCTGCATTTTTAAACTATGAGTGAGCAGGTTAGTGAAAGGTTACACAAGTACTATGTATAACTGCTGAACATGAGCAAAGACAACATGAAATAGAAAACATTTGAAAAATTCACTCAAGTCCTTAATCTATCAAAAAATAAATAATTCATCTCTTCATGTCATCTCTTAAAACTTATTTTCTTCACAGCATAATATGACAATGAAAAAACAACAGTGATTCTGGTCAGCAAATAGAGCAGTGAAAATTTTGAGGTCCACTTGCTTTTAATGGGTAATTGTTTATATGAAAATATTTGTTTATAAATAAAAGAGTGAATTTGATGGAGTTTTAGAAATTTAATGTACCAGAAACATTTTTATGAGCCTGATTTGTTTCAAATAATGCATAAGACAGAACAATAACAAGAGTCTGATGAATTCTGTACTCTGTCTGTCTGAGCTATGGTCTTAATAAACCTTTAAGAAGGTGTAAGAGTACAGTTTGTTTTTTATCATAGATATATTGAGATTACTATAATAGGCAGGTGAGAAATTACTCTGATGGAGTGAAACGTTTGGCTTGCTCTCGAACTCTTCGTTCATATTCAAGTCGATCTTGGCTGAAATAAATAAAAATACACATAAATTAAAATTAGTGGTGCTGCGACCTTGTCACTTTGAACAACTGTACAGAGATGTCACAGAGTCATATCACACTGTTAAAATCCTAATATTCAATCCAATTTTCCAAACAAGTAAAGAAATATAAAAACACTGAGATTATTCATTCACAATCAAAATACATACTAAAACAGTTTAAGAAACAAAAATCACTGGCAACTATTTTGGAATCATCTCTCAAGCAATGACGCCAAATTGTGCGTCAATTTGGGCAACAGTCGCTCCCAGTTAGGGCTTTGCTCATACATTTTACCCCCTAGATGACTTGTTTCTGAGCAAACAGAGTGTCAATATTGGGTGAATAAAAGGAGGATTTTTGGACTTTTTAACAATTTAACACCTTGCTTGAAGCACAGTGACACCCATTCAGTCTGGACCGGCCAGAATTTACTTTACAGTGAAAAAAGTAAAGTACAAATAGTTTACAGTTTTTAACTCAACTGGGGAGGGGCGAGTTAAATGATAAGATGTGTTTAATATCATCAAACAAGACTGACTTGGATGCTATCAAGTGGACAGCATATTTTTGTTTTTACTGTTGAGTGGGCAGCTATAATCAGTTTTCTCTAGAAGAATGCTAACCATTGTGCCACACATGAGCACAAATGATACATATTTTAAGGCAAGTTTTATGAAAGTTTTACCTGTAGAAAGTGAATGCTTCTGCTTGTGCTGGATCTTGAATGTTTGGTTCATTTAATAATTCCTGGATACCCAACAAAATCTAGTAGAGAGAATAATATACATTTCAGTAAAGACAAAGCTAGTGGCTGTGTGAAACACTCAAACAAAGTGTAACCACGACTTCTGTTGAGTTGCGCCAATGGGTATTAGACCCATGGGGTTAATTTGTTGTCCTCAAAGGAGGATATTAGTGTAGGTAGGCCACACATGATTGGGTTAAAATCACCTAGAGTAGTTCATTTTGTATTGTGAACGAGACCCTCATTTTTATTATTTAGTCAGCATTGAGTTGTATTAACCAGCGCGTTTTGTTTTGAAGATCTTTCTGGTGTCAAGGATAATTTGTATAAATTATGTCGGTGACCTAGTTTTTGAGTTATATTTATATTTTGAGTTATTTATATATTTGTCTTGTATATTCCTAGGAGTAAGCAGTATTTCTTTTGTTCGTTTTCGTGCTATTTTGATAGGGAATTTTCTTGTGTTTTAAAATTTATGAGTGTGTTCTAATTTGACGCAGTATGGGCTGAACGGCGTGACTTTTGTTGACAAGTTGGTCTTGGAAAGTTGCTATGTGAGTGACGTCATGATTTCAACACGCGTAGGGCATGACCAGTTGTTTTTTTAGAGGGTTTTGCTGCGCACCGCTAATGACTTTGTATTGTGTCAGCGCGTTGTTTTTTTCGCTCCATGGGTTGTATTATTTTATAGTATTATTATAATTTTAGATGATATAAATTTCGTAGTTAGGGTTTAAATATTTAGAGTTGCATGGATTTTAGATTGGTCCCCCTGGCCTTCTTGCAATTGGTACGAGCCTACCTAAGAGTGAGACGGAGGCGGGCGGTTGTTATGGCGGATGTTGTGACCTGACGTGCGACAGAAGTCTCCGGAACATTTGAATATTTCTACATTTTGGCGGACTATGTGCTCGGAAACTCATAATCAAGCTG